GAGTACGTCGTTCGTTTGTAAAAAGGTGACATTCCAAAAAATAGTGAAAGACATTCTCACAAAGATGACCACAATTACAAGACGCACTCTCAACAAGGTTAACTCTAAATAGGTAATAATTAAGGAAACTGCATTGGTGTCGGAGCTTAGTATGCAAAATATTAAGTTTACGATTTCCGATTTTAAAGTAAATAGGTGGATTTGACTGAATATTTGTTGTTAAACAGAATTTGAATGAATTTATAGAGGGCAGGGATCGAACCAAGTTTTCTAAGTTATTCCAACAAAGAAGGTAGAAAGTATAAGAGAAGAGTTAGTAAGAGACAGTCTGAAAAGAGAAATCCTATAGTTATTATTGTTACGTAAAGCGTAACGGCTATTTACTCCAGATAAAGGCGACAAAAGATTACTGAAATAATCAGGAGTTAATTTATTCCGCATCTTATGCAATAGTTATAGTTTACTCCGATTTCTGCGATTAGATTAAGTTCCAAGACCAGTTTCGTAATATAAAGCATTAATAGAGGTATATGAAGGAAGTCCTTATATAATGCGAGCAGCTTTACGTTGGGCTTTTTCTAACTTCTCCGATTCAAAAATAGTGCAATCGTCCCACAACTTACAAGCATATTCTAAAACAGGTAAAGTAAAAGTCTTGTAAATCATTAAAAGAGCTTTCCCACTTAATAAGTGTTTTAGTTTCCGTAAGACATTATTTTTTTTCATAACAGAATTGTAAATCCCATTTGCATGATCCCCTCACTTTGCATTCGAATTAAAAGTTACCCCTAAATATCTATGATAATCTGAAGGTTTATGACTTTCCTTCCTATCTAATTCTAAATCTAAGTCTCCCTTGATATCATTTGAATTATAAATAAACAACACATCTGTTTTTCAGGATTGCAATGAAACAGCCAGGTTTTGACCAAGTATTTAAGATCTCTAGGTCTCTATTCAAAGTTTCTGGAATTTCTAGACGAGATAAAGATGAATTCAATAATGATGTATCGTCTGCAAAAAGACGAGACGTTGATTCAAAAGTATCTGCTATGTCATTAACAAATATAAGAAATAAAAGTGGGTCAAGAATAGAGCATTGCGGACCCCTGCCTCAATTAGACCTACAGAAGAATATGAACTGTTTAAAAATACCTTTTGATGTTTCCGAGACAAATAATTTTCTAACCATTTAAGCAATTCACCTGTCACAGAATACAACACAATGTCATGTATGTCTTTTTTTCCTCAAGTGCAATACAAATTTGGTGATAAATATCAATGAGTTGATACACTGTAGAATGACCATGCATAAAACCAGACTGATATTTGTAAAACAAAATATTTCGTATAAAGTAGTTGTACAAATGTTTAAAAATCACTCTTCCAAAAACTTTACCAACAGTGGACAGCAAAGAAATTGGTCTTTAATTCGATGGAGAATGTCTGGCATCCTTTTTAAACAATGGCATGGTATTGGCTAATTTCCATTTATTTGGATAAACCCCCGTTAATAAGGACATATTAAGTGTTATGTTGAGGGGAGTACAAACCGTGTAAGTAGTATTTCTTAGCATATGGTGGCTGATTCCATCCCCACCCGAGACCTTGCTGAGCTTCAATATCTGTAGAACATCGCGTACATGTATTTCAGTTGAATTTAATCTAATTGAACTAATTTGTTTGTCAGTTTTTTGCTCCATAATCGGAACATCAGGGTTACTGTCGTCTACTCTAGTAATACTACAAAAATAGTTATTGAATAATTCAGCTTTATCTTCATCTCTAGTAACTATGTAATTAGTAATAGGATCGATTAAGGAAGGTATTGGTTGTGAAGTATCAAACGTTTTAATTTACCTTTTAATTAATTTCCAATATGACTTCGGATCGGAAAATGAGTACCCATCAAAAATAGCATAAACATTTTCATAAAAAGTAACACGTGCATGCTTTTTCATATCATTAACTATGTTTCGCTGTGATTTGAATTCATTGATATCTACCAAACGTTTGGTTGACCTAGCTTTGTCATGTAACCTATCCTTAATTCTTTAGTTTTTCCTAAGTTCAGAGGTCAACCATGGCTTATCATTAGGTTTTATATTTACTTCTTTACTAGGAATACATTCATTGGCAAAAGTTAGAAAAATGTCCGTAAAACGATCAAAGGCTAAATTAACTGAGTCATAATTATAAAACAAAATCTATGCAATTATGATTAGATTTAAGTTCATTAGATTTTCAAACTTTGCACTCTTGTACTGCCAGTTCCTACATTTATAGACTGGTTTAAAAAGACAAGGAAGATAAATGGAAGCAGTACACACCCCTACCTAGTATTTTCAATAATTTCCGTATGCTTGAATTTACAACTACAAATATTTGCTTTATGATGTGTTGCGAAATTGCAGGGAAACGCAATGAGATTTAATTAAAGATAGTTACAACCATGAAATACAAAACAAAGTTAGAAACAAATGTTAAAATTGTCAAACCATAACTTCGCCAAATACTTAATGTTTTCTCTTAAACTGTTAATTTTAGAACGTTTATATTTTATGTAAACTTAATAAAACTATAAAACATATCAACAGTACTTTTAACTCACCTGCCTCTATGATCAGTTAGCAACACGTAACTGATTATCTAATACGAAAACTTAATAACGCTAACACCAACTTACAAATGTAGCTATTTTTGGAAACACGCAATTATGCACGTGGTTATGAATTCCCGGAAATTGACTATATTGCTATATTGGTCGGTATTTAATGAAAATATTATTTCCCAGAGTTGAATAGTTTTAGCATTCGCTGAAAGTGACACTAACACCTTATAAGGGGGGCGTGGCTATGTTGTGATTGTATAGTGCACGAGTACTTCATAACTTGTATGATCTGCATAGTTGGGTTTTTACATAATGTAAACATGTATGTACGTACATAAGCATCGTCAGAGCTTGTATAATACCTTCAGTGTAGTCACAGCTAGTGCAGTAACAAACTAGCTATGAAAATGTATGATTGTGAGTTGATATTAATGTACCAAACGTCAAAAGTCTAATAAGTATTATGAGTATAGCTGTCCAGACGATATTGAAATTAAAATATGATTGCAAAAATTAAATATACGGATGAAATCAGTTTATTTGTTAAATCTAGCTATAGAAACAATGCTACGATACCCTCGTCGAATTATTGTGATTGTAATTTATGTTTGTTTCTGTCTGTCCATAGGTGATTTACAGGGCTAGTATCCATAAGCGCATATTAATAATCCTAATTTATTCCAACGAAAACATTTGTCATGTTCACACCATAGACGGGTCAGATGTCGGTTACTATATTTGACGAGATATTTCGATAATTTCGCTTGCATAAATGAACCTTCAAATCCAAGTCGATAAAAGCGATACTTTTTGGACACCGACTCAAGAGAATAAAAAAGTTTCCGTTTTTGGAAAAGAGTTTGTTTTAACTGATTACATATACTGCTATCTCTGTATCAAAACCGTTACATGTAGCAGAATGGGGTACCTGTTTATAGTGTATTTCATATGAAAAACCATCCCAACTGAAAAGATATTACTACCGTTCGAGTCAAGTGAACCACGTGGCAATAAGGTTTCTGTGACATATGTGTGTTGTACATGTGAAAAATGTGTTCAAATTCATGTTAAACATTTATAAGCATACTTCGGTTTTATAGATTATTCCTTCCAATGTTATCTAAGCATCGATTAATTTCTATCGTTTCAACACATTTTCATTCAGTTCAACCTATCATGGTGGTTCCTAAATTCTACTTATTACATATTACACATTTTAATGGTAAGCTTCCGAAATGACGCTCATCCTTTTGAGGACTTTACGCAAAACGTGCACTATTATAGCAAACTAGTACTATAGTACCTTGAATAGCAACACTCGTATGTGACTGTTAGGAATTCCTGAACCTACTTCCGTTTCCCGTTTAAAATATAATACACGCCATGATTGTTACGATATAATAATGTACACACAAAACCAGGATAGACAGTTAAGCAACAATATCGAATCCTCAATACACAAGGAAAATAGTTAACTGATGACGAAATCACTAAGACATGCAATGTATAGAGAAGTATACGATATCTACAAGAGTTGACAAAATATCCTTAGGTCAGTTATATTACATCGTAATCCTTCGTCATCAGGAAATTAAACAGCCAGAGTGTATATGAACTTGATACCATACTGTCTAGGTAGACGTGAGCGGGCATCATACGTGTACACTAACATATCGGTATCGAAACCGTCGACACACTAACATATCGGTATAATCTTCTCATTTACTTTTTGAATTGTTTTTCTTTTACATTTTCTTTCCTATTTGATATTCGAAAGATTTAATGCTATATATAAATGAGTACAATAGCTAATATATAACTAGATAACCATACATATACTGTTACATGTAGCAGCAAAATATACGTATTACACCAAAACAAAACAGATATAATAGTTTAAAAAAAGAGCATTTTATAAACATGACTGTAAAACATAAAATGACAGGAGTAATATTGTATTTTATAACAATGCAAAGGGTTTGTTCGCCAGTCAGATAATATCAATTATCAATTCTTAATCATGTTCTACAGAGAATCTTGATTACAGTGCTTGACCGCATATACATTATTTTCATAAGAACAATTATTATTTCTTCCGAATATTGACTTATCTGTCTCAATATCAGAGCAACTCAATAAAGACTTACTTGTCTCAATAGCAGATGCCCAATAAAGACCTTTCTGTCTCAATATTAGATAAGCCCTATATGATCTATCTGTCTCAGTTTCAGATACGCCCCAAAACGACTTACTTGTCTCAATATCAGAGGAGCCCAACAAAGACGTATCTGTCTCTATATCAGAGGAGCCCAATAAAGACGTGTATGTCTTTATATAAGAAAAGTGCATCTGTTTCAATGTCACAAGAACAAACTAATCAATGACTTACCTTTTTCGAAGATCACACAACAAAAGAATGGATGGAGTACAATTGATGAAGCTTTATATAAGAAATTGTTTATATTTTTGGGTACACGTAATCCTACTTGCGTTTCGTGATTCCAGGTATCAACAGCCGGTAAGCCCTCGGGCATATCTCCAAACTCTAAAACATATCGGGGGTTTTCCAAGACATGTACAACTTAAAAAAAAAATCTACAGGAAATATTTGAACAAATACAGATAAAGTTGCCGATTGGCGTAGATATAGCAACTAACTTGCAGATTTATTTTTATCAAAATTGAGTGAGGTATACGATTCCACATAACGTACATGTAACAATACAGGAACGATATAGCTAACGGGGAGAGATACTCGCTTGGGTATCTGTTCTAAATAGGTATACAGATTATCCCAGTAACTCGGCCGTACTTTGCCAGAAAACACTACTTTAATTGTGAAAGAAAACTTTGGACGTGTCTGAACACTGCCTGCCTTTATGATCTATCTTAACTTACAGAGCAAACTTAACGACCACTAAAACTTGATAACGTAAAATATGATTGTTTTGTACAGTATCTATTATATATTATCATCCGTAGTTGTTAGACACGTGTAGGTGTTAAACTATCCAAAAAGGAGGTATCTTTATACTAGAACAATGCATTGCCTATGACGATGCTACACTGTCATTCTCAATATATTAAGTTTTAAAGTTATATTTTTAAACAATTTATCACAATGCCAAAAAATTAATTATGAGTATCTGTTTTAGTGCTGAATGCAAGTGCTGATCCGGATATTGTTTACAGTCATGTTATAGTATCCGTTTAATATATTATGCGGCGCAACAGAACTTCCTTTTTTTCTAGAACATACCTATGCGGCAGGCAAATTGACTCTGAAAACAATTGCAAATTTTAACCAGTTCTGCTCAGGGAAAAACACATGGGACTGGTGGGCATGATCTTCATGGAGAGTATTTCATGTTGAGAACTGTTTGGCATAACATTTCAGATCACCTGTTTCTTTAGAACAGTTCAATGATAAATTGATGCATATCAATTTGATAGTTAGCTGGAAAGCTAATCTGGGTGATTCTTTGTTACCACTGGTCAGTCCAAATTATTCTTATATATACATATATATCACGACAATAACTTACCAAGACATTAGTATTAAAGATAAAATTAATTGAAATTGTTGTGTTGTGGTTAATTTGTGTCTATTTGATAAGTATCTACCCTCGTATATCGTCCAAAGATATGTATAATGTACACGGTGTTATAAAGAGTGTGTCTGTTTCCTTAATAATGCATTACAGTAGGTCAATGTGAGCGGCATGCTAACACCAATGTTATAATATAGAGTAGGTAAATATTAGCTATAGGTGGGGAATTATTGACGATCGACCGCATTAAAGTCTGCGTGGTCTTTAACAGGGATTCTGGAAATTCCTGATATAAAAACTAAACTTTACAAAACCCACGCAATATTAAGATTTCTTGGAGTTATTCCTGGAAAATAGAAACCGGTCTATTTGTGTAGTGAAGTCATAATCATGTGTTTCAAGCCTCCTGGCTCCCTCCCAAACTATGCGAGTGTGTAGTCATTAAAACAAATAAGGCGTGTGTCATATGATCCTATCGATAAAACAGGGTCGTCTGTCAGTACGAGCTGTTCAGTTTGTCTTTACTACAGACATGTACAACTTCCATAAACCATTAATTAGTACTCTTTTTTCTACTGACATAGCGTATAGTTGTGTCAGTGAGGGTGACAATGTCACCCTTTGTTTCAATTAAACAGAAAACAACCAATAATGAATAAACTTTCACCTTAAGTGACACAACAAAAAAGAAACGGATCAGACCTGACGAGAGTTCGTTTCTATAAAGTAATACGTATATAGTTTATTTTGGAAACACGTAATCCTGATTCCAGGAAGCCAGCTCGACTTTCGGGAAGATTTCATGTTGGCCTTGACATTACTCACCTTCCCGCATGTATGTTTTGTATACTGGTTCAGGTGAATCATAGATATTTTATCTAGACAATGTTGTGGCACTTCTGTTAAAATATCACCTGGTGTAACAATACAGCAGAGGAATGATTCAACAATTGGGAACAGGTAGTTGGAGTCACCGCCCATTATATATCTGTCTTGTCCTTTGGTATTGATTGCAGTGGCTATATAGCTGTTGTATGGGGATGTCTACACAGCAAACACTACCAAACACATCAAAGCGAAACTATCGGCGTGTTTGAACATTGCCATCGCTTGTTACATTTTTTTTTCTTTTCTGAATTTTAATTGTCCATCCCAAAATTGTATTGAACTTTGAAAGGAAAGCTGAATATCGTTATTGATTATATGACTACTTTGTCAGATTAATTGCAATATATAACACCATCACATATTTTGATATCAACTATATCTGTTATAACAGCCATGTCGACATTACCCAAACTTGTCTGTAATCTGAAGGATACAGTATCACTACAGTATGACCATGTCGACATTACCAAAACTTATCTGTAATCTGACAGATACAGTATCACTATTGGCATGTCGATATTTCCAAAACTTTTATGTAATCTGACAGATACAGTATCACTTNCTTGTCTGTAATCTGACAGATACAGTATCACTATGGGCATGTCGACATTACTAAAACTTGTCTGTAATCTGACAGATACAGTATCACTATGGGCATGTCGACAGTACTAAAATTTGTCTGTAATCTGACAGATACAGTATCACTAAGGGCATGTCGATATTACTAAAACTTGTCTGTAATCTGACAGATACAATATCACTATGGGCATGTCGACATTACCAAAACTTGTCTGTAATCTGACAGATACAATATCACTATGGGCATGTCGACATTTCCAAAACTTCTCTGTATTCTGACAGATGCAGTATCACTATGGGCATGTCAACATTACTAAAA